AGTTGTGTTCATCTCACGTAAAACTTGACGATGTTGACTTGTGGACGTACGCTTGTGCGTGGACCCACAAACGGATGTGTTGGTGTGAGCGCACGGTTTGTCTCTCCCTCTCTTTTACGCTCTTTCTCTTTTCTTTCTTCGTCGTATCCACGGCCATAGGTGGTAGAACGAGCCTGTCCAGTTTTCCCATGGGAACAATACCCCACGGGATATATAATAACAATGGTCACGAGCGTGGGAGACGGGTCGATCTTTATTTACCCGTTGGTTTTTCGTTTTTCTTCCACGTCCCATCGCCCATCCTTTTTGTTTTACTGTCCTCTTCTTTATCCTTCCCCGTTGTTTTCCCTCGTTCTTTCTTGCGCTCTGTTTCTCCACCTACTTCTCATTTCTTGCTCCTTTTCCTCTCTATCTCTGGACTGCATCCTTTCTCTCTTACTCGTATACTCATACGTGATTCTCATCCGCGCGAAACTATTACGATTTCACGTGTCACTCTTTAGATCCACGCGAATCTTCATCATTTTCTCTTTCTCCGCTATCCTTCCTCGGTCTTCATGTACCTCTTTCTCTTTAGCACTCCCTTTGAGGAGGTAGGGCACACGAATGTGGGAGGGATGGTTTCCGGTCGCCCACGTGCCCTCATGACGACCACTTCGTCGAGGTATCGGGAAATCGAGTAAAACATACTCTCGCGAAATCTCTCGAAGAAGTTACTGATATAACATATACGAGATATGATTAAGCCACTATAATAATATTAAAGAGAATATATAGCGAGTTCACTCGAATCTTAGACCCAATTCCATCAATATAAGGCTATAACTTTAATGTAACCTTAATCTCGGTTTAACTTATTGTTTATCTTTTTTTCTAATTCTAAAAGTTAGAAAAAGATAAAGAATAAATTGAACCGAAATTAAAATTAATTTTATATCAATAGAACAAAATCTTACGTTATATTACGAAATTTGATTCCATTTCACTTTATCTGTCAATGATATAATTTATCAAAGGCTTTAAATAAAAAAAAATTTTGTCCCTCCGTTGTTAGCTTCAAGTCGCCTTTTGTGTTTGCTGTGTATCTAAAATTTTATATTTTGTATGTAACAAATTTTTCATTTTTTTATTCAGTCGTGTGAAATAGAGGTTTTTTATTGCTGCACTAAAACTTTCCTTCTTGTTTTGTCAAACACATACAGAGAAAAAAAAACACAATGGTAACAACTATTAAGACAATTATAGATTTTATATGTAGAATTATAATGTAAACAGTATTTTTATTAAATAAACTTATAATTATTCTAATATTATTATATAAAATACTCACCTATAATATAACCTGAAGATGCGAAACGAGATAAAGCAGAAGTTTCTTTAAGAATACAAACGGCGCAAAAAGTAGGTACACAATCGTAAAGTTATGTAAATATGGAATTAAAATATTTTATCTACATTCGCGTGTGACCAGGTAAATTTGTTCTCCCGAATTAGACAAATCTCATACCTTGTCGTGAGACACGACGGGTGCGTTGCGCACGTAGAGATACGCAAATATTAGACCCCATCGCGCCCCACTACGGTAGCGGGCTGTTGCGCCAAGACTCACCGTTTCTAAGCTCCTATCTATACACCTGAATCGAGAGGATTTTCACAACGACGCCAGCCGATGAGAGAAAAGGAGAGAGAGAAGGAGAGAGCCCTGACTAGATTGTCGCGTGGGCGACCGGAAACCGTACCTTCCTACCGTCTTTGGTCGTCACTCGACGGCTCCGCGAGAGAGGGGAAGTGAAGAGAAGGAGAAGGCAGACCGGTCAAGAACTCGCCATATTCTTCGACGTTCTTCTGCCGATACATCGACTGTACGCACAGGCGGATCTCGTGCGGGACAAACGCGCGATATCTTCGCATCAAGAATACATAAAAAATCCTTGGGGGTGGAGTGGGGAAGAAAACGTTTTTCTTTCTCAGTAAACGATTACGGCAAAGATTGCGGCGCAAAACATTATTCCAAAGCACGATCTTGGACTGGTATTCATAGTCGATTTTTCTATTTGAAACTGTTACAGCCTTTGGCCCAATTTTTTATTGAGCTTAATCTGATGTTTTACTTATTTACTTTATGACACCATCATAAATGAAGCCCATCTTGGACATCAGGTCTAATAATAAGTTAATAAAAAAATGAAAAACCGAGTCTTAAGATATCAATCAGAGGAATCGATATATTAGCATTAAGACATTACTTAAAACTGTCTTAAAGTAAGAACGGACTACAAATTCCGCTCTTGTACTTAATATTGCGCGGGCTATACATTTGTTTCTAATTTTTCAGTGATTTTCAAATTTTGAATTCCTTTCGTCGCGTACATCCAGTCGATCGCTCCCATGCAGCACAGACTTCCAAGGAACGTTTTAAAAATGTCCCTATGTCCTCCTCTAAACGTAATTCGGATAAAGTGTGCTGTATGAACTGCTACCGGGATAAGCAGGGCGACCGGGCGGAGAGGTGGCCGGATTGAGAAACAAGCCTGGATTAATGGGCCGGCCAGCCGGATCGGCCGCGGCGGAACCAATGATATGACGAAAGAAGCAAAGGATATCGCGCTTATCCTCAAATGGTAGAGAGGTGATGACCTCGATCCTACGTTCGCGCGTTGCAAACGCGCTGCGCGGCGGCGCGACGTCGCGCCGGCATGCATATCGTTCCCCGTTCCCGTTCCTGCACCTCGTTCCGCCTGTTTTCTGCCCCGGCCCGATCTGACTGAACGTTCTCGACCGGCCTGCCCACACAACACACGCGCCCGCCGCGCGCGCCTGCCCTTCTGTCAATTATATTTACTATTTCATTCATACCGCCGACTCTTGGTTCACGGGCCGTGCCCATTCACTAGAACAACCACCTCGTGCCGCGCACGCGCGGCAATTGGCTAGGGAACGTGATTATCGGATAATCTTTCGCCACGTAAAAATTGAAAGCTTGTTTTCTTTTGATAATAATCCTGGTTCGCCTGTTGACAAGTTCTCAAATTTCGAGTTAATGTATTAATTATATTTAATTGTACGATATTTAGAATGTCGAGATAGATATATAATTATTATATAATTATTAAGAAATTTATTAATTGTTATATAAAATTTTTATGTAATGTTATTATTGATTATTTAGATATAGGCGGCAATTAAAATAAAAACTAAAAAATAACATGTATTTATAAATAGATATGTTTTTTAATATATATATATATTTCTTGGGCTTTTGCAATTATGTAAACAGTTTAAATTTATTAATATATAATCAATTTTTTACAATTTTAAACTTCTTTTTAATATTTTTATTTTGAACGATTTACATTTTGTGTCAGAATTTAAGCTAGAATTCTATTTATAATTTTATAACATCAAATTTTTAATATTATGTAAAATTATATACAGAATTTTATTTTGTAATTTAACGCAAATTATAGTTTATCTAAAGTAGGATTTAATTTCAAATCTAAATTTTATTAAATCAAACTTTTTCTAAAATTATCGGTTTTCTATACATTTTTTTTATTTTAAATTATTTATGAATCAAAAAAATAGTTATCATAATATTTTTATTAAGGAAAAATCGAAATCTCATGTTTATTTAAAATTATAATCATATAATTAAAATTAAAACCATGAATTATAAGATACATGTACTTATGTAATTTTCATAAACGATAATAATTTACCGATATATTGTAATATAAAAGTTTGTGAAAAAATTATGAAAATTTTTACTCTTTACGTACAGTAATAATTTTTTAATTATTGATTTTAATTATTACTTAATTCTGCGTACAATGTATTTGAAATCGATGAAGTAAGAGAAAAATATTATATAATTCATTTACGTCTTACTTTCTTATTTCACTTAGGATAAATGCTACCTTATTTGTATTGTGTGTAAAATCTACTACTCTAAATATCACATATGTATAGTAAATTTCGTATGAGTTTACATGCGTAAAATCCTACATGACATAACATAGTTTTTTTCAACATTTGGAAGAAACTGCAGGAGAAAGACACATGCAAATGATGAAATAACTAAACTGATATAATAACTTAAAAAAAGATAAAGCTATTTGATTTAAAAAAATAAAGATAAGGAAGGAATTACAAGAACCATGCTTCCATTCAAAATATTGAAATTCTGTCAACAAGATGGCGTAATCAAACAGAGAAAGATTTGCTAGGGGAAAAATATTACTATAACTAAAATATCTAGGAAACCATTTCCTATTGGATGTCGAAATATCGAACGTTGATTACTGGACGCAATATTAATTCTTGTACAAATAAATTTGATTTAGCTAAAATATTAATTAATATTTTATAATTTAATAGTTTAATTCTTACTGTGATTGGTTGATTTGATTGACAATTTACTTCATGCGACAGTCACGCTATAATCAAATCGACCAATCACCGTAAGAAATGTGGTCTTATGTTTTAGAATAATTGATCGGTAATATGCTTACGATCTTACAATTATTATGACTAAAATTATTATGACTTTTTTACATCTGATGAATTTTATTTTTAAAATATTTCAACAACAATAAAAAGTCTTAAGAATGGCTGCTATTTTAAAATTCTTACGATTGGTCATTTACCGTTTGCCTTTGAGTTAGGCCGGGTTCACACATTGACGGAAAAACGGAAAGCGGAAAAGCGGAAACCAATCAGAATTCTTTCTCGCGGAAAGACAGAAACAAACAAGTGAAATGTACCGTCTACTACTACTGCAAGTTCCGGTTGGCTTCCGCTTTTCCGCTTTCCGCTTTTCCGTCAAAGTGTGAACCCGGCTTTATAACTCTTATAATGGGTCATCTAAAAAGTATCCGCGGTATTTTGTCACTAGACATATGATCATCAACACACATCTAGTGACAAAAAACCGCGGATACTTTTTAGATGACCCATACAATATTTCATAAATGCAGCTACATATGATCTAGGGACATTATCTGTAAGAACTTCTTGTTTATTTGATTTTAGTGATTGTAGTGATGGAGACGTCTGCCTTGAATCTGGTGAGTCTTCTTTCTTTACACAATATATTTTTATATTATTTATATATTGTATAACATTTTTACATTATTGCCAATTATTGCACGTCAGTACGAGTCAAATAAAGAAAAATGATCATTTAATCCTCTTTTAGGAGAGTCGTTGATACATTATATTTTATTGAGCTAGAAATAAAATAGATACTAATAACAAAATATTAACATATGTGTTGATTTTGAATAAATCGCGAGGATTATTAGGAATTATTTCTATATATTTTATTCATTATGCATTAAATCATCAACGAAATTGATTCATAACTAATACTTTCGATCTAAGGCACATGAAAAACAGAGAAGAGCAGAAGCATTGTTGCGTGAGGGGAAGTTTGAGGAAGCAGCCAAGTGTCATGAGACTGTAGCTGATCTTCTAGCAGAGGCTCATGAGCAACTTGAATCCAGTCTTATTCATGTGCATGCTACTTTATCTTCTCAAGATACATCAAAATTTTTGACACCTGTTCATTCACTTGTCACATTGGAATCCCTCAGTCTACAACGAGATCATCATAAGAGACAAGCAGCTGTTGTCAGGTATATAATATTTATATATTTCTATTCTTTTCAACTGAATTTTCTACATTATGCATCTCTTTCTTTCTTTTCTTTCCATGTTTGAGGAAAAAAAAGGAAACATAAAAAATTCAATTGTCAAAAATTCAATTAATAAGACCAGATTATTTCCAAATTATCTATTTTACACAGCTTATCATTTGTGTATATGATTTTCTATTTATTAATGAAAAAAATTTTTCTTCATTATTAGAATGAAGCAGGCACAGTATGAGGAATACAAAACAACCTTAGAAAATCATCAGAAGGATCTTCTCAATAAACACGCGGCTAGATATAGTGAAAAAGATAATTGTGCGGATATAAGAATTGACAAGTATGATGGTTCTTTACGTCAGGCTATATATAAAACTATCGACGAACAAGATAGTCTTCTAAGTTTGATAGATATCAAGTTGCCATTGTCTAGTGCTGAAGAAAAAAGTTTCAAACATCCAAAAGACACAGGCACTGTTATAGAAGAGCTCAGGACTGTTAACAGCCAATTACGATCTCTCGTAGGTAGCTTGCTTAGTCAACTAGAAGCAAAGGAAGAAGAAGTACGTCAATTGACAGAACGTCTTTACGCAGTTTCTGTCAATTCTAGTGATGATATCAGATCAGAAGAACATCCTCTATGTCCTCTTGATCCTTTACCTCAGTTGACACCTCTTGAAATGCCACTTTTCGATTTTACATCTACATAAAATACAAACTTTTTATATCTAAAATACGCTTCATAAATTTTCACGAAAGAACTTTAAAGTGAAATTAATATTAATCAATCATGATTAAATGCTAAAAGTACCATATTTTCAAATATATTAATATAACGAAGTGTATATAATTCTAAATTTTATATAAGGTATAGCAAAATGTAATGTGTATTTTTGTTGTAAATTTGGATAGTAAGGGAAGATGTATATGCTAAAAAAAAATGTATATATTTTTTTGTTGTGCCTCTTTAATTTATGCTGAAGATCTATTTAAAAGTTCGGCTGTGTATCGAATCAACAGTACAGAAGATTAATAACTTTAAAAAATAATTAATAATAAGTGAAGATGGATTTCTCAGTGAGTGATCAATTTGTAAATAGACGAGTTTCGAGCAAATCGAAGATTTTGCGGATGATTGTTCGACCATTGGTTCTGAGAGTATAATCCTCTGTGTAATCTGTTATTACGAAAATAAAGCAAAAATTCAGATCTAAGTGTCGCAATTATTTCATGAGTGTGGAGAAGTGCCGCGAGTGTGAGATTAATTAATTCTGCTTTTATTTATGTTTCTATATTGACTTAAATATTCTTCATTTTAATACATATTTTTTACAAATTACAAAAATATACAAGATATATATATATATCTAGTCTGTGTTTTATTAAAATTTTCTTTCTCACTTTAGCCAAATATCAAACATATTATATACTTATTCACTTTACTTTAAAATATATACTAATTTTAATATGAAAAATAGACCTATGATCTTTAACAATATCTTCAATAATTAATGTCTGGATAAAAATACAAACATAAATTACTCATATCAGCTTCTTGAACTTCGTGATGTTAATAATTTGGAGTAGTAGTGTTTACAATTGATAATGTACAGCGTGATAAGAGCAAGGGACTTGTGACCCCCAGCGAAGATATGTATCAAATCGAAAGATAGTATTATAGTCAGACAAATGCTATCTTCGAGATCATCACGATCTACCGTTAATTAGGATGAGGTATATCTTGATTGATGTTCTTCCGTGAAGAGCCACCTGTATTGAAGTCAAATATATTTTCTCGATTTCTTTTTCCTTTTTCTCTTTTTTTTCTTAAAGATAATACTTCTTGCGAAATTAAATGAGATCATTTCTTCGGGTGTAAAGAGCAGACTCTGTGTCTAGGATGTATCGTGAACTTTTGACAGATATCAGCCTCGAGCTTCGTCATAAGATAAATTAATTATCATTAAAAATGGTCTTACATGTATATTACATACCGTGTTTTCTGAATAAAACGTATGAGATACAGACACTAGACACGCATTGAGTTAATGTTTAACGTGTTTTCAAGATATTAAGCCATATTAATCCAGCGTTGCCAAATAGTAACATCATTAAGTTGAATATCCGATAATTACTATTTACTCAATAAAAAGATTCTAAATGACGTGTTTATTCTTCTACGTATAACAACATGCATAGTGATGTAAAATTACAATGATCTCTAAATTCGTCGAAACTTTATAAGATTTTAATGTTTCAAATGGCATAAGATAAAATATTTTTTTTACTTTAGTTAGTTTGCCAACCAAATCAATAAATTATAAATATTACCCAATCATTTATTTATTAGTTGTAAATCAATAAATTATAAATATTATCCAATAATTATATTTATTAATTGTAAATCAATAAACTATAAATATTACTCAATAATTATATTTATTAGTTGTAAATTAACTAATAAATATGATTAATTTATTTAGGATTAATTTAATACATGCTACTTGTATAAATCTTTGTACATATTATCTTCTGTTCAAAAGATAATATCTTATACTTTGAAAGTTTTAATACGAAACCAATTTTTTTTTATCAAATCATCTTTCTGATCAATAGTATAAGACACAACATACGCATGGTTTTCTTATCGGAATTAATCGGAATTAATCGCATATCACGATCACATGTGTAGTAACGTACTTATTTACGGTGGCATGAGAGTATCACGTGAGTCTCAGCTGTGCACTCTCTGCTTATTCGCACAACGGAGAAATTTTTTTAATATCTCACTCATAACGGAGTCTTGTGAACCAATCGCAATAAGTGCGACACATTACTATACAAAATTTCCGTCGACGTAAATGCGTATCTAATTATCATATTTATGTTAAGTTATTACATGAAATACTCCACTAACGAAGAAAACATTCTATAAAATATTGATAAGATATTAAATTTTGTAAATATTTTCAGATACTTAATATTTCCAATATTTTCAAAGTACTTTTCAAGCATCGCCCTTATGGAAAAATACTATTAAATTAATGAAAAATCTATTGAAACGAAAGAGTACATATACAATATTGGATTTGAATGATTTTTAAATTATTTCCAATTTTTTTTTCGTGATCCAATAGTGGATTTTTTTCCATAAGAGCGAGTGTTCCTTTTATCGTAGATATTTGTTTTATCAATAGGAAATTATTCCTGTTGAGAGAGAGAGAGAGAGAGAGAGAGAGAGAGAGAGAGATCCGACACCACACAGTGATTTTGTAATCATGTCTTCAGATTAAAACTTCACTAAGTAATACTCAGAAATGGAAGCATACTGATTATGATGTCATTAATTTTCTTTCCTTAATTTTATTTTTTCAAAATATTACACATATTTTATAATGTGTAATTTTGTAGTAACGTAAAACTGAAATAAGAGCCGACATATCAAGAAAATTTTTATTACTACAGAGTAGCATTATTGGACTTTACCAAGAAGATAATAAAAGAGTTGAAAATAAATTATTGCATATGTCTTATTGCTAATTAAATCATAAAAATGTAAATCAAATAATTAATATGAACAAATATTACATAATTTCAAAAATTCTTATGTAATTACACTTATGTCAAATCTAATAAACAAGTATTATAATGCAGAGGCAATATATTTAGACGCTAGATTTATTGTTACGGATTTATTATTGTAAAAGATAAACAAGGTTTGTTATCAGGTTCATTTTTAGACGATATACGTTCGTTTAGATGATATACATTCGTATCTTGACTCATCTTTATGATAAACATCGGTGGAAAATTTTCTACATTCCATGATATTTTTATTTTAATTAATTTTAATTTTAATTTATTAAGTTATATTGTGCTTTATGTCCCAAGTAGAACAGAATTATAACAATGATATTACAGAATGTCATCGTGATATCATCTGATACCTAAAAATAAACTAAGTGACAAATGAATCCTAGTGATATCCTAATGATATTATATTACGACTTCTATATTCTACTTGGATGTTATCTAAAATTTGATTACTTAAATGATATTTGAAAAATTAAATTATATCACGGAAAAAATTTGTAAGATTTATCGATATTTATCTAAAGTGATTCTTAAATCAATATTTATCGCATAATATTCGATATTATAAAATATTATTTGATCGTTTAGAAGCTATATTGAGCTTACTAGATTGTTTTAAATTGTTTGAAAGGGCATTGATAATATTGTATAAAGTAATTTTACAACAATATTGACCGCATAAGGATCTCTTAAACTCTTAAACAATTCAACAAGTATAGTATAATATTAATTACTTCAAGAATTGTTCCGCCAGGAAATCAGGTGAATGAGATTTACGTAAAGTCTGTTCTTTTTCGAAGAATTCTGAACTAGTTCTGAACTAGTGAAATAAGTTAGAGCGAAACAAACTATACTTGTCTCATTTTAACTTATTACACCAGTATATACCAGTTCAGAACTGGAAGTCTGAAAAAGAAGACTTATTTTTAAACGTATCTTTGAACCATGATTTTGTATTTTATTTAAATTTTAAATATGTGTACATAAAATGAATCAAACAAGCAAATAAAAAAAACAAAGGACTTACATCCTATTTTTTACTATTTATAATAACGTGTTAAATCCTTCAATTACATTTATCCGTTTTACTATTAACGATAAGTCGTCGACCGATGCAGATGCGATACGAAAAGACGCAAAGAAAGTTTTGTTTACTGTTGTGTCAACTGGAGTGTCGTTCGCGCTACATTTCCGCATTATCTCTCATGATTTTACGTCAAGTTGTAACATCAATTTAAACGTCAATTTTGCAGATATATGTACATAGTTCATATTCCATACCATTCCGGAATTTTTACCGCGAATATACGTCAGCATTGCGCTCAGAGTTTATCAATTTGGCTTAAAAGTTGATAAATACTGAATAAGACCCTCCGCAGACACGCGCACGCGTAATTATCGCACAGCACTCTCCTTGTCTGCCCCGAGAGGACAAAAATCTTCTCCTCGATAGAAATGGCAATAATTGTGACGCGTGAGATCTCTTATCTCGGTGACGTGTGACGTTGTATTTATCGTATAAAATACCGGCTGAGCGCGACTCAGACATCAGTACTGGTTCTTACCTCAGCGAGATTAAATGAGATATAAATATATAACAGTGGAGCACGTATAACGGCTCTTGATATTCCACGAAAGCTATCAAATTGTATTTCAACGATCTAGTCAATACTTGCAGTATATTTCCAACCACACGGACGCAAAGTAAGTTTTTTTATATTATTCATTATTTTAAATTTTGAAACTTTAACGAGTCTGCAGAAATACCACTATTGTATTAACATTTAACTCAAAGACCATCCTTTTAATAAACGTGTCACATCGAGATCATACATCTTTGCTTATTGATTATATCTGCTTTCTAATATCCTGCGAGACAAAGGATACGTCGAGCATTTCTCCTTTCCATATTCGCTCAATGAACAATAATCAGGAAATGATCTCTTATTGTCTGTTTTTTGTAATAGACATTCGAATCTTTTTCGACATTTTTAAAAATAATTATTGCATTGCAATAATTATTCAAAAATTAATAAATTGTATTTATAAATGCAAGACTCGAATTGCTTTGAATATTAGGAATTATGGGAAACCGAGCATTTCGAAAAGTTTTAAAAGTTTTTCCTGGAAACTCTTGAAAGTCTTGAGTGCCTAGAAAATTT